GTTCCCGTCAAAAATAAAAGGTACTGCGTGAACGCTGCGTTGGACGCGTGCGGCAAGGCCGGGCGGGTCCAGGAAGCCCTGGGCCTCATGAGGGACGCGCGGGCATCGGGGATAGAGCTCGACGTTGTGAGCTACAACTGCGCTATCCCGGCCTGCGTCACGGGGGGAAACTGGGAACTGGCCCTGAGCATGATTCGGGAGATGGAGGCCGAGTACGGCATCAAGCCGAATCACATCACCTACCAGGCGGCGATAAAGGTGCGCGCTCGCACGGCTGCTGCTGCTACTGCTATTGCTGCTGCTGCTGCTGCTGCTGCTGCTGCTGCTGATGTTATCGTGCTCGAAAAGTTGTGTTCATGAACAAACGGCTAGGGTAACAGCATGGGGGTAATTTGACTGGCTTAATGTTTTATTTTTTCAGTAACCCGAGAGGTGATGCCGCGGAACCCCTGCGGTATGGCTTGGCGCCCGGACGCGGCCGGGATGTTCAGTTCCTGCAACGACGCTGCCTTGCTTCGCACTCTGCGAGGGTGTCTTTGTGCCCTGCCACGATAATATATTGTTATTTGCGAGTTTCCTTTTGCCCACGAAAAGCATGTGTGTCGTGTACGAAAAGCTGAGAAACGGTAGCTTGGATTTGGCACCGAGTCACATGGCATGCGTACGTACATACCACGATGAAGGAGTAAGGGTTCGCTTTTCCCCAGTGTGACTCGGGAATTAGCCGCTCGTTAGTCCCTTAGCTTTGCCCGTTGTAGCTCGGGAAAGAGCCGTTGGTGGTCTCATGATCCCGCACAACAAGAGATGGTGAATTATTATTAACCGCCTGCAACAATTGTATTCAACCGACGGCGCGCGGATTACGTGATGGGGGGTAGGTGTGCGGGAGGTGCGGCAAGGCTGATGAGGCGGCTAGTCTCCTGAGAGAGATGAAGGACGGCGGCGTGCCGCTCAAGACGTCGGTGTACTCGGCGGTCTTCAACGCCTTCCGAAGGGTCGATCACTGGCAGGTGCTTCACTTGTTCCTACGTTTTTTTTTGTTGTGTTTCATGTTTTTTGGTTTTTCTCGTCACTGGCCGGTGGCGGGGTATGCCAGCGAGTGTAAAGGGCATGTTTTTGTGTGTGTGTTTTTTCAAGCATGGCACTGAAGCAGCTGTCACAAACGATGTGTCGTGGCGTGTGCCTATCCAGAATAGACATGTGTACAGGTGCTCCCTCCGGAGTGGGCTGATGAAAGCACAGCAGTTTCGTCAAGGGTTGATACAAATATGAGAATAGCAAAAGCAGGCATGCAGGACCATACGCAGCTAGCTGCCAGTTGCCAGTCGTGACGTTTCCCAAGCTCAACAGCTCACACAACTGACGTGTTTGGGCGCGTTGAGCGCAGCGAACGATCGAAAAGAGAAAAAAGTACAAATTTGGAGTTCGTCTTGCAAGACGTGCCAGTCTGCCAGACACACGATATAAATAGCGTGGGCGCGGGTTTCCCTGAAATTCCATCCCAGTCCTTCACGATGCCAGCATCCCCACCATGGACAACACCTTTAATCAACATCAACATCAACATCGACAAAATCCTCTTACCGCAGGCAGCGGCCTCCACGCTGCGCGAGATCCACGACTGGCCGGTCAAGCCGAACGTCTTCAACTACAACCTCGCCATCTGCACCTGCACCGACTGCGGGGAGTGGGAGGAGGCCCTCGACCTCCTGCACTTCATGCGGGAGGTCGGCGGGGTGGAGCCGGACGTGGTGACGTACAACATTGTCGTGGCTGCCTGCGGGAAGGCTGGGCAGGGGGAGAAGGCGATCGAGATATTCCGTGAGATGTCAGAGGTGGGTGACTGCTGCTGTGTGTCGTCGAATCAGCATCGACCGCGCTAGTCGATGAAAGGACGCCATTCTTGTAGCAAGATAAGAAACGCGAAATAAGAAACGCACCATACGAAGGGTTTGACCGACAGAGGGGGCGGAGGAGTTGGATTTGTGTTCAAGTGTGTGTGCGTGTGTCTTTATATGTTAGCATCGCCCGCGCTAATCGGCGGGCCAATTTTAATGACGTCAGCAAGTCTTGCAGCGGTTGAAAAACATTAAGTAGGCAAGTGTCCGCGAGTACTATGGTTTCGTCTGCTGATTTATCTAGCACAAGTAGGAGACTTGTCTGCTGCGGATGGAGATGAATTCGTTGTTCCTTTTTTGTGAGAAACGTGAAAAGACTACAACGGCAGCAGCAGCAGCAGCAGCAGCAGCAGCTTAACGTTATCCAACACTGACAGCACCACGACCACAGGTTGGGATCAAGCCGGACGTGATCAGCTTCACAACGGCGATCTCCGCCTGCGGCAGCTGCGGTCTGTCCGAGGAGGCCCTGTCCATCTTCCGCGAGATGGAGAGGGCCGGCGTGCGCCCCAACATCATCACCCACAACGCGGTCATGTCCGCGTGCATCGCCGCCGGCAAGTGGGAGGAAGCCCTCGACTTTTTCACCGAAGTGGTTGACGGCAACGGTGCCGCTGACGGCGGCGGCGGTGGTCCTCCGCGTGATCCGGTAGAAGTGGCCGATGCGTGCAGCTACAACACGGCCCTATCGGCGTGCGAGGTGAGGAAAAGCAGCACCAGCACCAGCAGCCGCCGCCGCCGCCTTGATTGGTTGATTGGACCGCCTTCGCGATTAATTAAGTTCTTGACGAAATAGAACGGGGAGGGGAGGGGGTGCACAGACATTATCCGTAGCCTGAGCTCTCACCCCCTCCTTGTCTGTAGCGACGGCGACACAGGTTGGAACGTGCCGTGTCCACGCGTGTGGCGTAGCGTTTAAGGAGCTGGGCCGGGGGGGAGGGCGAGGGAAAGTTGCCAGGGGCAGCGGCGGTGGCGATGATCCCCCAAGCCCCCGGGTTTCCTTATCAAATTGTTAGCGTAAACCGTTGGCGTGTCGTTGATTGGTCGTGTGTTGCAGCATAAAAAAAAAGATCGCGAGATCGTCTCCCAGTTGAACAGCCGGGGGTGGTATGTACACAGCATTGTGCTTGTCTGCCGTTCGTATCCTGCAATCAATCATTCGTTGTTCATGGCCATGTTTCACCCTCTTGCCTGCCAAGACACGACGCAGAAAGCGAGAGCCCAGCTGGAATTTTCACCCTTCCTTCCCCCCCCCCC